AGTACAATTTCACATGCCTAAAGATGAAAATTGACCTTGATACACTTTAATAGAAACTTGTGTTGACTACTTCTGGTGTGTTCGCTTTTCAATAATTTGCAGGAACAACAGGTACTAATGTTTGGGCGCGGAAAAGTAGATATGTACAAAGAGTTGAAGAGTTGATGTTCTTCATGAAATGATATGCTGTAAATGTAGAATGTTTCTAATTACTTTGACCATGTCTGCTCTTACTTGATCATCTCTTTCACTGATACATCGACATCACTTGAATAAATTGTTTCTTTGCAATTTGTAGTTTATACAACTAAATTTATTATTTATGGAGAAGGAACTTACAATGTTGGGCCCGTGCTCAGCACGGGCCATGCCTCTCTAGTATCATATAATTGAGAGAGCATGTATGTATGCAGGAGTTTATGGATGATTTTTGATTTTGGGTTACATGAAAATAGTAACAAAACATGTGTAATTATTTGTCAAGATTACTGATAGTCTTTTTGTTATATTTTCTTGTTGGAGAATATTTGATATATTTAAGTGTTTACGAAATTAGAAAATTGTAAAATTATTGGGAAGAAAAAAATTAATTTATACTCCTTTTATTTTTCGTATTAGTTATTTTACTTTTTATACATTCTTTAAGAAATTATTAATAAAAATGATAATTTATTAATTTACTCTTTATATATTTTTTTTGCAATTTTACAAATTTTGTTTATACTTTCAAAAAGAATTAATTGTTAGGGTAATAAAAATAAAAAACATTATAGTTTAATTTTGTTAATTGATAAATAATTTTAATAATTATTTTTAGTAATTTAGATAATTAATATAGGATAGAAAAATAATACTAAATGTTAGGAGTATGATGAATTAGGCTAAATTTTATACTTTTAAATTATTTAAAGATAAGGAAAATAGCAAAATTTGAAATAATGGTAAAAAAAACAAGAAGTCAAAAAGTTGAATAATGGGGAAAAGTTAAAAAGTAAGAGAGAAAGAATTTTGTCCCATTTTTCTGAAAATGAGACCCAAAACTCCATTTGTCAAATTATGAAAGGAACCTCACACAACTTTTTGACGCCACCTCATACTTATCCCTCGCCCATCATAAAATTTTTCGTCCTGTGACATATCAGTACGGTGCCTTTATAACTGATTTATATTATTGAACTTTCAGGAGGTGAAAGCTGATGTTAAAAACAACTGATTCACGCCCCATACTGATTGCAGATCTGAAAATGATGAGGAGTGATTATTCCTTGTTCTCAACGTTCGTTATGATATGCTAATGTTATTTCCATGTTGAGATTGATCTGGGTAGAAGCTAATGTCAAATTTGTTAGGTTGTTCAATAATTAGTCGTGATTTGTTCAATTTGTAATACTTTAATTAGTTTTATTGTTTTTGGAAAAAAAAAAACTGTTTGCAAACTCCATGTATCATATCTTCAGAAAAAAGTTAGGGAGTCTTTTTTTCTCTTTTTGCAGTAAAAGTCAAAACAATCAGAGTTCGCAAGAGCTCAAAAGAACAGCAAGCATATAATTGAGAAGGAAACAGGAATTCTTAAGAAATTAGAAGCCTATGACAACAGTAGAATCTTCCAACTAAATCCAAAGGGCCCTTTGTACTCTTCAATTTTTTTCGTAACAATTGTGAAAAAGACCAATACAAGCTAAAGAGCACCCAATCTCACAACCACGTTCTAGGAAGGGTGTGTGTCAAAAGGATTACGCCTCCAATAAAAAGCAGAATCTAAGTACACACAAAGCAGTGCAAGATAGTCACTTGTAATTGAATACTTACCACTGGCAGTAAGGAGGAACTGCCCCTGTGCAGGCTGTGCATACCGTTCAGTTAATTGATCTTCCTCCAATATCAGCTGTGCTGTCCAGAGGAGCTTTTTGTGTTTACTCGGTAACTTTTTAAATTCGCACCATAGATACCTTTCACTAAATCCTGAGAAAATGACAAGGAGGTAGTTGACAAATAAATTTTAAATACGCCCAACCCTTTTCAACTTCCTCATCTTTGTCTGTCTGATGCTTCAGTGGTCAACTCAAATAGAGTGTGCATGTAACGTTCAAGCAGCTCATAATATGTCGATGTCAATAGTAGAAAGCAATTACTCGGTGGAATGCTATCCTCAATCTTCAAAAAAAATAAAAAATTATCAAGATGTAGATCCTTAAGTCTCAGGCTTCAAGGAAAACTCAGTAGGATACATATCATCAAATGTCTCAAATTCAACTTTCTGTTTATCAGAGCCATATTCCATAGAAGTAGTAGTACTGTACCGCTTTGACGTATCTCTTCGGGAACATTCATCAAACAGTTTGACTTCGCTGCATTCA